GAAAGCAATTAATATCGGAACACACGACAGCGCCCCAAGATGGCGCGAGGTAGATAAACAGAGGCAGAGCACTGAATCGCGCGACTATCGACTAATCTATCGACTGTACGCTGTGTGTTCGTTCTGTCAATTCAATTAGATGGAATATCTGGTTTTGAGTCTCTCGATCGGATGGATCACATTCGCTTGCGGAAGTATGAAATAATCAATATCGTGTTACCACGATGTTACACCCAAACGAAAGAGAATATATTATTTTATTCGAGGTTTGTTTTAAAACAGTTGCTCAAGTTTTGCGATTTCTCGTTGCTTTCATTTTAAATCTGTGCGAGTTTGCATTAATTAAATGAAAAAACACAGGACGACGCATTTTTTTTACATCCGGTAATTAAACTCAAAATCCAGACGGGGTAATATTTAGTCCCTAAACTCACACACAGCGCGCTATGTGACTTCGCATCAGCGACGGATCAATACTCGCGTGAACACCGATCAATAATCCTGCGATATATCTTCCGCGCTATTTATCCGCGCGCGCGTTCTCTCTAAAATTGTGCTGTTTTAATCATTCCGTAAATTTTTCGCTTACGGTTGTAGATCGTTATTTTTATGAACGCTGAAAATATCTTCCGCAAAAATTCTTAGGAAAACAAAAAACCACCGTTCATTTACCGAATTTCACGGCTGCGACGACTTGAGTTTTCATCGCCTTACAATTTCAATCAAAATTTTTATCATCGCGTGTTATCGAAAATTATATAACAGTGAATTAAATTCAAATTTGTGCAGTTGTGCGCGCATTTCGCATTGAAGAAACTTTGCGTTAACAGCGGATCAATACCCGCGCGAACGCAAAATCAATAATCTCTTGAATGCGATACTTGCTATTGATAAAAAAAAAAAATTAATTAAATTTTCTATTTGTATGCAAATAAAATAAATCGTTGTTGTATTCTTGAGGAAAAATTTTCACTAAAATTTTGAAAGAGAAATTTATAGCATCGCTGTCTTTTTAGTTTCGCACAGCGACAATTACGACGTTTGCCGCGCGCAAGCGCTACGTTCTCTCGTTCGTTGAACCGTTCGTGAGTGAGTCGCTCAAATGTATACATACGTGTGTGTGTGTGTGTGCGTGTGTGTGTGTGTGCTGCTGTTGTGCGTTGGACGGAAAGGAAAAAATATAGATTAGAAAGAGAGAGAGAGAGAGAGAGAGAGAGAAAGAAAGGAGAGAAAGGCAGAGAGCAAAGAGGCAAGAGAGGGTAAAAGAGAGAAAAAGGCATAGCTCGCTCAACAATACCGCGCCAATTCCGGTACCAATGCTATCTTCTAGACTTTGTATCTAGAAATATTTCCGCAGTAGATTTTTTATCTAGTTTTAGAAGAAAGCGCTACTTTTCAAGTTACTTTCACGTAGCGTATCTTCGATTTTCAATCTTTCTGTTTTCCCGAATATGCTTTTTAAATATAAAAAAAAAAAAAAAATTTTATTGACACGTAGAACATGCCGATCGATCCTTTCGAGACTCGAACTCGATCCGGAGAATAAGAGACAAGTGTATCGGAGAACAATCTCGGCGGCCTATCAAATATCGCGGGTTGCGATTTATCGACAAGAATTCGCGTTTTTTTCCGTGCAAAACTGCGTCATTGTGTGTCCCGCTTATGTCGGAGATTTTTCGTTATTGTTGCACATACATTATATCGCACACGTGTGTCCATTATGTGTTTCGCGCTTGTTATAGTTTCCGATGATCTGCTTTGCGACCGTCAGAATTTGAGGGACAAAAACATTTGTAAAATTGTTCAATGCGAAGATATTCCATAGTAACTCTTTATAATGAGGTTTTGTTCCACAAAGTGTTGTTTTTAACTATAAAATGTTTCTATTTAAAGTTACCAGACAATTATCGGTTCGCTTATGACGGCTGTAGAAACCGCAAATTGTGTTTATGTGTATATCTTGTGAAACCAAAACTTTTCCAATCAACTTATTTCAACCAACTCTTTATCAGCGAAACAAGAAACAACTAGGTTTCTACATACATATACGTACATATATATAAATATATATACATGCGTATTGGAATATTCAAGGTTTTAAGTTTCAATATATATATATATAATATACGCCTTGCTTTTAAATTTACAGCAGAACTATTCTCCTCACTAACACGTTCTCATTTTTTTTATTACGCGGTTGGTAATACGAAAGAGATCTGCTATTTTCTCCGCTTTTATTGTTTTTTTATCCTAATTAATTATCCTATGTATTTATCGAAATTAAATATTAGCGAATCGAGCGTATATAACGTAATATTATACTCATATTACGTTATTCATGTAACAATCCGTACTTTAACAAACTGATAAACTCTCTTTCAAATATTTGTCATACATATTATACATTATTCACAGTATTGATCCGGTAGTTTGAGTTTAAAGTATTTATCTCTAAATGTGTGTTATATTATTATATTAATTACATTTAAAAATCATTATTTTATATACGTATATTTTTTAATATACGTTTTAACTTTTTAATATTTAATTTTTATAATTTTCTAATTATTCTTACAATCAAATATTATTTATTTTAGAATTCTCAATTATCATTTGTGTTTATGTTACACATTGCTCTAATTTGCGGAGACAAATTGTTTCCGCTGTAAATTTACGAAATAACTTGCGCGATACACAAAACTCGCGCAATTAGCGGATCGTAAATCGCAAATGAATAATGCTCTACTACGCGAATAAACTTTGCTTCTCTATTGAGAATGTGAAGCGCTACCGCTAAACTCCATGTGCTTCGTCCGCGAATCGAACTACTAGAAAATAAATTTTTTTATATTATCATTGCGCAATTGTCAGTACGTATTTTATTTTATTTTATTTTATTTTATTTTATTTTATTTTATTTTATTTTACCCGAAAAAAAAGTTTTTGCTTGATATTTGTCGGCGTTGTCGTTTTATTTTTTTTCCTATTTTTCGGCTCTAGTTTTTTCCGCGATGCAATTCAAAAGTAAATTAATCCGAGTCTCTCGTTGTCAAAGCAGAAACGCAACGTGTTATTAACAAAAAAGGAAACGCGGCAAAATTAAAAATACCATGCAAAACGTAAAGAAGAGCGAAAAGCTTGGTCCGCGCGCGTCGCTGACTAATCTGATCTACCGGGTAGACTGTGAGAACCTCTGCGTGTTTCTCCCGTGGCATGCTCTCTCTCTCTTTCTCTTTCTCTCTCTGATGTGTGTGTGAGCGCGCGCGCGTGTATGTGTGTGTGTGCGCGCAGCGCGCTTTATTACGTATTCACTACCAACACATACGAGAGAATCGCACAGCTTCTCCGACGGGCAAACGAATCGAGCCGAGCCGAGCCGAACTCTGTGAGCGCGGCGCGGCGCGGCGTGTCGGCGTTATCGTCGGCGTCGGCGTCGGCGTCGGCGTCGTTCGACGTTATCGACGACGCCGCCTCCACTCATTCCGCCTCGAGCTGTCGAACGCGCCGCACGCTTCTTCTCTTCACATCACGCCAACTCAGTCTCCTCTGATCTATCTTCGTCATCATTATTGTTGTGCCTCCTCGTCGTCGTAGAACTTCGTCATTGACGTCACTTTCGGGTCGACGTCAGTTGCTCTTTTAGCTCGCCAGTTGTTTCTCTTGTGCCGCAGACTGACGACGTTCCTTCTCTCAGTTAATCTTCCGAGATTCGATCGCTTTTTCCACGTTCAACAGTCTTTGCTGTCACTTCAGTTACTTCCTCCGAGTTTTTACCGCCGAAAAGTTTTTTTTTTTCAACATCTCTCAATCCCGATCGATCGATCTCTCTTGTCGAGTATTTTCTCAAAAATCTCTCGGCTTGTGCGTCAGAGTCGAATCTCGCGGCTTGTGCGTCTTCCCATGAGAGATCCGACGAGTTGGTAGACTCTCCTTCCTCTTTCGGTGTTAGACGTGTCCTTGAAGATCGCATCTCGTTCTTCGCGAATGTCGTCGCGCTCGAGCCGCACGTTGTCCTCCCCTGAGGACGTGTCTATCGCTCCGATGAGACCGTTCTGTCGGCAATTTGCGGGTCCTTGCGAGCGAGATGACTCCGGTAGTCGGAGTCGCGATACAACTTAAGGCCCTCGTAATCTGAGCGAGGCGGCTCAAATCAGGCCAAATTGCTCGACGACAGACTCGAAGAAGAGCGAAAGTTGGACCGAACTGGAAGAAGGATCGCGCGATCTCAAGGTAAAAGTTCCGACAAAGGGATCTGTTTGTAGATGGTTGAGGTTTTCCCGAATAAATCAAGACCGAAAGGAAGTTATACTTTATTTTTCGTCCTTTCTCTCTCTCTCGTCCCCTTTTCTCCACCGGCCGGCTTTAAATCAATAATCTCCAGTGAAGATTATATATGTAGGTGCTCTTGTAGTATCTTGTACTCGAGGGTTGATAAGGCAAACATGAAGGGAAGTTTTGGTGCGAATGGTGGATCGTGTCACGTTTTGGGAAATTGATTTTCCTAGTTATCAATGTATTCTATCTCTCCATCGCTCTCTTCTGGGTCTACCTGGTGGTGCGCGATATCAGTGCGCGGATTATTGATTTCTCCATTCTCTCTCTCTCTCTCTTTCTCTCTCTGGCTTGCTTATATTATTTTCAAAAAGAAGAAATATACGCGATCATCGTTTGTTAAGACAACGTTGAAATCTGTTTCGAAAAACGGAGGTTGAACTGGAAGTTTATTTTAGTGTCTTTAGGGTTTTTTTTTTTTAATTTGTTCTCTCCAAGTACTTTCTCTCCCTTCTGTTCATGCGATTTAAATATTACGAGTTACATTATTGCGTATAATATATAGCATCAGTACCGTGACTATTGTTACATTTAATTTAGCAGTGAGAGAAATTCTAATGATTTTATTTTTTTATCAATTTTTACCGCGTGATAAATCAAAATTAATCGATATCTTCAGGAACGAAGGACCGGTTTTCTAATTGTGGAACTTAATTTGGTTCTTGTAGATGGCACAATTGCCCGAGATGGAATCGCCTTCGGCCTGTCAGGAGTATCTCGTTGAGGCCCAAGAGGATTCCACCTCAGTGGATCTCGCAAGCACGTCGTCGACGACGATGACGACAACAACGACGACGACGACAACAACAACGCCAGCAGAAGATGCCGCGCGTCAATCCGTCAATGAGGACTTGCGTGAGAATTCGGTGGTGGTGCACGAGAAGATAAACGAAAACTCGGAGAACGGAGAACTCGAGGAGAGACAATCCAGTGATAATCTTTATTTAGAAAAAGAAGAGAAGAAAGAAAATGAAAAGGAAGAAGAGAAGAAAGAAAATGAAAAGGAAGAAGAGAAAAAAGAAGTGGAAGATAAGATCAACGAAGACAAAGAAGATTCGATAGAGAAAGTTCTTCTGGAACCTAAGGAGTCGATAAAGACGGTCAGTCTTCAAACTCATGATCTTGACGACGAGGAAACCAGGCTTGAGGAACCAGTCTGCATTTCCAGGAAAAGATCAGTCGACAACGATTTTTTACCAATCGACGAGGATGTGAAGAAAGTTGGTCTTGAGATTTCGGAAGAGCAGGCAATACAGTTGAAAAACGACATCAGAAGACTGTCGCCGGTGCTTGTAAGCACGCGAGAGAGAACGTTGGGTGAAATATCTTTGATTTCGGAATCGTGTTCCTTCAAGGACGACATCGATGGCAAAACAATGTCGAAGAGCGACGACGGTCACGACGAATCGTTGCGGGAGAACGAGATTCCGGTTACTAAGAACTGTGCGAAAAAAGATGTCGACGAAGCGAAACAGGAAGCGATTGCCAAGGTTACCGCGAGTTCTCCGACAGAGTGCACAAGTTGCGACGGTGCGCTCGAGATGATCAACTCGGATCGCGAAGAGAGAAAGATAGTTCGGTGCGACGGTCAAGCGAAGATTCTCGATGTTGATTCTTCAATGTCCTCGGAGCGCGACGGTTTCAAATCGACGGAATCGAATCAACATGACAACGTCAGTGACATCATGAGCGCGCCTGACGTTTCGATCGAAAAGTGCGTCGACGAAACGACGAGTGCTGTGGTCTCGGATCTCGTCTGTCGGCGTTTGTCGGTGGTGCTAAACCGCATCGACAACGTAAATGTGATAAAATCGAAAGACGATGCTGTTGAAAAAGATCCACTCTATTCCGAAAGAAAAAGAAATCTCGAAGAGGAATACAGCGCGCCAGGTAAAACTCCCTTGAAGAAACAACGGTGGCATAACGACTCCTCGCCGATGACCAGATCAAAAACAAGCGAGCTGATAGAACCTGTCCGTAGTCCAAATAATCTGATTTTAAAGAAGTGCAAAGTGGTGCTAGAACGAATCAACGACGACAAACAATCTCAACCGGCAAAACCCGATGAAACTGATATTACTTCGCAGAAACTCGAGAGAGAAGGATCCGCGCCGGTGTCCGTAATCGGACAATTGGAGGAAGACGAAGAGGTGGTGCTGGCGGGTTCTTCGCTTTCTGGCGAACGCGACCGAGTGTTTAACGAACTGGACTCGTCGGAGACGATGCCAAGTTCTCCGGAGGAGATGTCGGAACCGGCAATGGACATCGTTGAAGGTGTCGACACAGAAACGGAAACTGAGACCGGATCCGACAGTTCGGAGGTGTCACCTATCGTGAACATTCGGGAATTGCGCGATGTCGACATAGTGTCCGATCAGTTGCCGTGTCCAGAAGCGGAACCGCTTTGCTGCGTGGAAACGATGGCGCCGATTATGACAAGGCTGGAGACCGAGCGACCGGAAACCTACACCGAGGATTCCGCCGAGAGTTTGACTCTGACAACTGGCGCCAGAGACGACGTTAGATCCGATGGGAGCGATTCCGGTCTAGGTAATGAAATTCCTGGTGATCCTGGTCCCACACCGGCCCCTGAAAGCGATTCCGAAACCTCTTTTCTCGATAGACTGCCGGATGATATTCTCTCCGACAAAGAAAAAGGTGAGATTTACTTTTTTCTCCAAATTAGCGCTCTAAAGTAATTTCATTCATTCAGTATCTAATCAATAATAAGAAATATTCGTATAAAAAAAAGAATATGTGTGTTTTATTTATTTTCTATTGAAATTATATTATATTGCAAATTTTAATAAAAATAATCAGTTCCTGTTATTAATATTAAATGAAGAATTAATAAATCTAGACAACCAATTCCGAGAAGACCGGTTTCCTTTTAAAATCTGTTATTTTTAAATTACAAAAGTTCTAGGATTTGACAGCAATTTCCCATGCCAGTTCAATCTCGCAATTGCTGGTCGAAACTCCAGCGACGAGAGAGACGCAACTCGAATAAAACCTCACATTGATTGTCAACACGCGATATACTAGGTGTTCCAGAATCGATAGAATTCTAGATTATAACGAGACACATGATATTGTTTTCGTTGATAAAAAATTGATTAAAAAATCTTTTCGAACAATATTGAGCAATCGACTCGCGCTAATAATTAAATCTTTAATAATTAATATTTTTTATTTCAGTAAAATTTACTTCAAATTAAAATTGTTGCTTCGCAATTTTTTACCGACTAAAATTCAATTTCAAATTCAATTTCAAATTTTTTCACTTTGAAACATTTTTTTTTTTTTATTTACATTTCTTTTTTTTTCAGGCATGAACCAACTGGACAACTTTGCGACGTCGTCGGTTGCGCCCGGGATACCGGAACAGCCGCCCATGACGAGCTTTCGAACACTGCCGGCTAAGAGCAACCTAAAGCGCAGATTGATCGACTGCATGGAGAACGATGAGTCGCGGAGCAACACCGAAGAGCCTGTAAAGAAGAAGCGCAATATCCATTTCGACGCCGTAACCGTTTATTACTTTCCAAGGGCGCAGGGTTTTACCTGCGTACCTTCGCAGGTGAGAACAATTACTAGAAAATTAACATCTTTCTTCTCTTTCTTCGGATAAATAACTTAAAAAATTAGTAGTCGGATTTTCCGTGTGTAAAACACGATTGATCGTTCTCGTTTCAGGGTGGCAGCACGCTCGGTATGAGCGCCACCCACACACACGCTGAGAGATTCTCATTATCGGAACACGCCGCTGAACAGAGGCGAATTCATCGAGCCCGCTTGGCGCAGCTGCGCTCCGAGCGCAACTGCGCGATCAACTGCGTGACCGAAACGGCGTCCAGCTCGGAAGATCCGAGCGACGACACCGACGAAGAGCCGAGCGATAACGAGGATCTTGACATCGATAGCTACTACTTTTTGCAGCCGGTGCCGACGTCGCAGCGTCGGGCGCTGCTTAGAGCGGCCGGCGTCAGAAGAATAGATGCCGTTGAGAAAGACGAATGTCGTGACATTCGGGCAAGCAGAGAGCATTGCGGATGTGGTTGTAAGGGATATTGCGATCCTGAAAGCTGTCCTTGCAGTCGAGCCAATGTCAAATGTCAGGTAAGTCGCGCGGAACAAAACCGAATTAATCTCGTCTAATGAGATTTATCTGCGATTGCAATCTCGAAACTGATACGATCTTTCAACTCAATTCACGATTTCCAGGTGGATCGACCTGGCTTTCCTTGCGGCTGCACGCGAGACGGTTGCGCGAATAGCTCTGGCAGAATCGAATTCAATCCTATACGAGTGCGAACGCATTTTATTCACACTCTTATGCGATTGGAATTGGAGAAGAAACAACGCGAGGAAGAGAGTGGCGGCGATCACGATCAGACGGACAATCAGGGCCAAAGCAACAGAAACGGCAATGGATCATTGAGGAATATTGGTTCTCTCGGCTCTGTGATGGACACTGCCGGTAACGGCGACGTGTGTGCAATTCCAGGACCTAGAAGCGGAAACGGAGGCGGGGGTGGATTTACGACTCTGCATTACGAGACGAGTCATGACGGTGTTACCGGCGGTATAGTGACGGCCGGTTGCCAGCCGGAAGTGCCCGGTACGCGAGAGGACAGTCTGGATTTGTACGCAATCAGTGACGATTGTTATCCGAGCGAAGACGCAGTAGACGGCAGCCAATCGATCGTACAGCGAAAGCTACATCCAGAGTTCAGCCAAGCCTTTCAGAGCTTCTCACCGGGTGGAGCACAAAGCGGCGGTGGCAATGGTAGCGGTATGAACTTCCAGCAGTCTTCGTATCAGGATTACGGCTCGCCGTATGCGGGTCTCCCGTCCACATCGCGAGTGCCGCAGTTTCAACAGCCGCAGTTTCAGCCCTCGGCGCCGCCCAATCCGGCCGCGTTTTCGCACTATGGACCGTACGGCGCGGCTCAAAACACTGCGAGCGCCGGTCTTCAGAGTAACTGCGCTGCCCAGGTACATCAGGTACCACCCCCGGGTCAGCAGCAGCAGCAGCAACAGCAACAGCAGCAGCAGCAGCAGCAACATTCGTCTTACGAGACGGCGGTGTTTGCGCAAGATGACGCCGCGAGTACCGCGCAGTACACGAATTTAACCAATTCGGTGCAGCCGATGAACCCGAGCGTCGTGCAGCAGATGCAGAACAAGCTCGAGCCTTTCTCGGAACTGCTCAGCGGCAGATATTCGTACTACGGCGAGATGCACGAGCCGCAACAACACCACGGTACTTACGGTACTCACGGAACGACCTCGAAGATCGCGGAAATAGTCGAACCCGGCCAAGTTGCCGACGGGCAACAGTCCGAGAACACGTCAGAGGATTGCGACGAAAACTTCGGCGAAATCATTAAAAAATCCATGGTGGAGACCGTATCTGCCTAGATAAGAGAGCTCTTTAAATTGGGTTAATCCTCACGATGAGCTTGGAGACGAAAAAAATTGTGGGTTCTCAGCGCTCGGAACTCCTCCACTTCTTTCGAGCTCTTCGTCCAAGGAGCGCGCCCAAATAGAAAGCCCTTCGTCCAAGGCTGTACGAAATATATAAAAAGATTTCACCGAGTACAAAAGGTGCTCGTAAGTTTGGAGACTCGGTTTCTTCGAAGCCTGAGAAGGTTGGAAACCTTCGAATTGTGTCGCGATGACCTCGGAACTTTCTTTCGAGGATAATTCAGACAAAGGCTTCCGGAGGTTGTTGGCGGTCTTCACCTTTTCGCGCGCGACAAATAACGGGTGAACGCAACGCCCTCCAAAGGAGAAGAAAGGTCTCCTGGGGCCAGAACATCAGACTGAAGAAGCAGATCTCGTACAGGAGGTCGTCGTTTTAGGGAATTTTACAGCTATCACGTATGCGTCCGCCCGGGATGGAGAGTCTCGTGACGTTATCGTTTTGGCGTCCTCTCTTCGATTTGTATGGATCGATATAGTAGTTTTTGATGGGTCAGGCCAGCTCCACGACTTGGGAAGATCAGTAGAATCTTTATAGCAATCGAGAAAGAGAATTTGTAATAACAAAACTGAAAGAAATGTGATTCTAGATCGTGGAGTCAAAATGACTTAATTTAGGATGACGATGACGTGATGAAGCGGAGAGGATCTGGGTCCGAAGGGATAGAAAATCGGGATAAGATAAGATTCCGTGGATTTTTTTGAATCTTCGTCGGGATTCTCTTCCACAAGTGATCCGCGAGCAATTTTATTGAAAGATTTAAAAACGAGGTTGTGACCAAGAAATAACATGGGATCAGCTTTAGATTGCAGTTTAATAATACCTAACTTTAATACCTTAAGCATAGGGCCAATCGACCGGAAGCGGGTCGCGTGTCTTTTTAAACAAGCTTCGAATGTTGGGAGGGGGGAGGGGGGGTCTGCGTTCGCGAATGTAATGCAGGTTGGACTTTGGGACGAGTCTGCACTTGCTCTAAATTCGAGAGAACCGCTCTTAGAACGTTACGACTAGTATGTAACTGTATATTTTATACTTTATATACATATATATTGTTATATTGCATTGTTTTCTTTTACATAATTAATACTTTGTACATATATTTTGGGTTTCTTGTCTTGAAGAAAGCGTAAGTTCGGGTGAAGTTGATGATAAGTTGATGATTTTTCGTTTTTCGATTCTTTCTTCCTCTTTATCTTGTAACAGCTGTTCCTCCAACGATAGATGCTTGTCGCTACACTGTTTAGAAATCGTAAATCACTAGAAATGAATCGTATTTCACACACGATATTTCTTCTAGCGGTTGCGACATCGTTTTGATGGAAAACGGCCGACAATATGTTTTTTTAGTAAATAAAACTTTTATTTAAATTTAGCTTTGTATTCTGATGTTGTTGTCTTTGACTCTCGTTAGCGTTGACGAACATTGAAATCATGAAAATTCTTCACCTAAGTGCGCGAATCCAGCTCGCTGATTAGAGATTAAGGAGTTTTCGGATCTCTCGAATCTTTAGAGTCGCCAAAGTCGCGTTTCCTTAAGAGCGACATTTTCAGACGCAAAGCGAGTGAGGAAATTTTTTGCCGATCGCCGTTTCAAAAAAGGCGGGGGACAGAAAAAAAAAGAAGAATTAAAGAACAGAAATGAGCGCACACGCATACACATGACACATTCGGTAGACGAGCGTGAAACGTGAAGCGATTGTGATACTTGTGCATACGAAGAAAAAAAACAAAATAACGGTGCAGTCCGCCAGATTTATAGAGTTAAGGGACAAATTATATGGACCTTTTTTTACGCCGGTCAAATGTAGAAGTTTGAGAGCGGTAATATTTCTGAGTAATATGGAGATCGACGATTTTTAAGCGCGGATTTCGAGTTTCTTCTCCCCCGCGAGTTCGACAAGCGAACTAAACCTCGAAAATCTCGATCATGACGAGCGCGCCAAAAAAAGAAAAAAAAATTTCTTATTATCGATATATTTCTGATATATTTTATATTTTTCTGATTACATATATATTAAAAATGATGGATTATTATATTTATTAAATTATATGTATAAAGTAGTGGAAGAGGGGGGGGGAAGTGTATAAAAAAATGTGTGTATATATAAGTATTTTTCAATTTTGTAAATGATACATTGTTATTTTTTAATCGTGCGCGCAAGAGAGAAGAAGAAAAAAACATAAGAGTTTTTCATTATTATTGTAAGTACGTAGCTTGTTAGAAACGCTGTAACTTTATTTGCGTTACATCATATATTGTCACAATTTTGAAATCTATATTTTTCCAATCGTAATTATTATTATTATTATTATTATGTAACAATAATATAAGAAAAACACTAATAATTTATATTTATTGTTAAATAATAATCGAAGTATGTAACAATAACGCAATTATTATTACGTATAATTGCATAGATATATCAAATTGTCCTCGATTGCATTTCGGTAAAACGGGGCGCTCGATATGGTCGATGTTTTCCTTTTCTATTTGTAAAACACATTTGTAATTTAATAATTATGGTGCCTGCGTAATTTGTACACGACTTCAATTGCTCGATCTCACTCTTCTGAGTAAAGAAGCGCAAAAAAAAGACTATTTGCCGTTTTTCAAAGAGAAAGACTTATAGTCGGTAAAAAAACGCAAAGTATCGAAATCGGGCGATTAGTATCGGAGGAAAAAAAACATAACGTGGACGAAGAGAAGATGTAGAAGAAGAAATTCGCGCTTGAGGCGACGAAATGTAAGAAGCTGACGGAAAACTCGTGAAGAGCCACGCACACCACGCCGACTACCTTTTGCACGCCCATCATCCTCAATCAACCAATCAATCACCTTCCCTTAGTAGAAGATACTTTAAGAGAAAACGGACTTCTCTTTGTAGCGCATCCCGGGACGTTGATCGCTGTGTCCACGATTAATTGAAGTATACATAAGCGAAACATATAAACAAAATACGAGAAACACACACACGATTAGTATTAAATTTGTACACATCTACGTACATACACGTGCAAACACAAAAAAAAACACACACACACCCACGCATGTACGCTCGTGTATTACAGAGAGACGTACATTTGAGGCCGGACGTGTCAGCCCCGCAAACAAGGAATCTGTTTTTCCTTTTCTCGTTATTTTGCTCCGCGAATCATGTTCATCACCAATGACCGGTGCCTAAGAAAAACAAAAAAACAACAAACAGAAAATCACTGATTTAGCGCGAAAAGTGACACAATAGAAAGGGAAAAAGAGAGGAAGAAATCCTGAGGGAGGAGTTTTGCATTCTAAATGCAAAAGAGGGATGTGACACGTCCGCGCGCGTGGCATTGCGAAAAGGATAAACATATAAAAATTATAACACGTATGTAAGTATCTTTTAGAATATTTGAGTAAAAAAGAGGCATACATAGTTGATAGCGTTTTATTAAATGTTGTGAAAAATGTCTCTCGTCTATCTATCGTCTAAACGTTTGTCTTGTCTAAATCTCTGTTTCTCGAAACGTGCGTTTAGCGTTAAAAGTAGCTGTTTTTGGACCTTCTTTTTTCTCTCCTCCCCGTTAATTTTGCATTGCGATATAAATTATATATCTCTTTCAAAAGAAAAAATTCAAACAAATTAAAATCATATTTACAACTGAGCAGCCACATTTAGCGTTAAAGGTGCGAATGATTTATGCGTCTCGTGTCTTTCATTGATGAAAGTCCTATTTTTTACAAGAGAAAGAGTTTCCTATCCAATGTTCCATCTGTTCCGTTTTTTATACCGAGTTCTTTACGTAACATTTTATTTTATCTTCTTTGTCATATTATTTTACAATCACGTTGAAACAAGTCTAATATTTTGTGCATTAAAAATAATTAACGTGGAATATCAAGACTAAAAGTAAAATATTTAAGCACAAAGTATAACACGGAAAGGGTATAGGTAACTATTCCTTTCTCGCGAAAATCCACAATAGTGATGTGACATGTGATTTTAAACATGGCGCGTAAACCTTTTCTCTTTGTGACTATTGAAGCGTTGAACTATGAAGACACAGCAGAAATCAACGAACAGGTAAAACTAGAGAAGCTCGATGAATTATCGTATATTAATTTTAAAAAATCGAATTGTTTTATTTCAACGAGTTTATAAAATCCAAAAAATTAGAATTTTTAATATTACTATTTATAATACTAATTTAAACACAAACTCTATATTAAAATTGAGTACTTTGTTCGCACAAAGTTACTTCTACGTTCGAAACATGACGTCAAACATTGAAATTTATCTTTATCTCGTGCTTTGAATTTCAATTACTTCATACTCACAAACTTCTAATTTCATTTAATTTAGCTGTTTTTTTTCTATTAAATATATTTTAAAAATAAAATTTCGGAATGTAAAAGCGCCTTGAAGTTTTCCAAAGATGAAAATTTTCAGACTCCAATTTCTCGATCATTTCCGCATCTTCCTCTCGTTTTTTGCGTCGTTCTCAAAATTGGAACATCCAAATTAAATTAAAATGAAACCTAGAGAGTTAAATTCTCACTGCTGTGAGAAATTTGAAGGTGAAAGACGTTTCACATTTAGTTGGAAAAAAAAATCGTTCGAAACCGTCGGGGTCGCAAGACCTGTAAATCCGCTCCTGAATACTTTCATCAGCGAAGCCGGGAGGTGTGGGGGGAGGGAGCACCTCTGCTACAACAAATGGCGGTACCATCGTGTAAGTACACCTTCTCCCCACTCGGGATTTCGTCATGGTGGGAAAGAGATCGTCACACCGGAGATATGCCGGTGTGCGACGCGGTGGTTACCACACCACAGTCGCACACCGAGTTTCGACTCGCGAGGGAAGCCGCGACTTCTCCTCGGCTGGCAATTTTCCTGACGCGTCCACACGGCTCGCGCGCGTCCTGATCCCCCCCTTACCTCCCCGTTTTTCTTTTTGCAAGCGGGTACGCATGTATTCGTGGCGTCTCCCGTCCCTCCACTCCTTTTCGTGCGCTCCATTCGCAAGAGAACGGCACTCTCGGCTCGTTCGCTCGACAGAGAGAGAGAGAGAAAGAGAGAGAAGTCGCCGCCCGTCCGTTTCTCGGGTTTATAAGCGAAACACACACGGACGCATAAGGCACGAAGTTTTGTCGGAGCTCCGAGTAAAATTTTTATAGAATCGCTCGTCGTGAAGTGAGTGAAATTCCGAGGGTTGCTTCGTCGTAAAGGACAAAGAGAAGAGGAAGGGTAACGAAAAAGAGAGAGAGAGAGAGAGAGAAAAGAGAGTCGACGACGTGCTCCGAGGTGTCGTTGACGTTTCGTGTGTCAGTGTCCTCTCTGGTCTCTCTCGCGCTCACACCCGCCGCATTGTCTTCCGTCCTCGTCGCTCTCGTTCCGGCCTTCGTGGAGTGCCCGTGAGAGTACACGCGCTCTGAAAGGGGGCGCTCACAAGGGAGCCCAAAGTACGTATGTACATCACGCGAGGGTACTTCGAAACGCGATGTGACTATCACAAGAAACGCGATGTATATTCCTCTCTCCTTTTCTAAATCGGCACCCGACTTGTCTGTCACTGACCGTTGACACTGCTTCACGCGTTCCAGGAATCGCTCTCTTTCTTGTCAAAGGATATAACAAAAAAAAAAAAAAAAAAAACGCACGAAACAAACCTATTCATCACTACAATCTCATCAGAGATCTCATATGGTCGTTTATATTGCTATTTACTCCAAATAACACAAAATAATACTAACAAACTTTGCTACAGTCGTTATATAACTGTTATGCTTATAAATCTTCCATTGTTTGTACACGTTACAGAAATGTTTAATATATATAACACGCCGTTTAAATAAAAACATCCTTACATGCTTTCCATTTAATAAAACCATCTTCTACTTCTTCGTCTGCTTCTTTTTTAAATTTTCTTCTCGCATCGACAAAATTTCGTATCACAATTCCTAATATCATTTTTTGTTTGTTTGTCATTCTTTTCCTGCCTTTATCGTACCAAATCACATTCTTGGCAGCTTTCAAGAGAGTGACACCGTGTATCTCGGAACACGCGAGACACTTCTTTCCGAAGACGTTTTATTTGTGGCGATTATATCGCGGTGAGAGATGCCGGATGACAGGTTAGGCCAGGAGTGGCTATCACGTCGGGATTCCCTCGGGATTGATCCCGTCCGGGGGACGGAGCTTGGCGCATAATGACGAGCGTCATCGGCGTGTCGTATTGCTGCCGCTGTTGCCGCCGGAAGCGAAGCCGCGAAGAGAAGCGACGTCGTGCGCAGCAGCCCGGCGACGAAGACGACGAGTTCGAGTCCTCTAGCTCTAGCGGGAGGCTATGAGCGCTGACAATGGGGACGAATCCTTGGTAATTATCATACCTTTCTCTTTTTCATCATCCTCCTCTCTCGCTCTTCCAGCCCCCTCGCTCGCTTCCCGCGCGTCTTCCTTGCGCGAACTCTCTTGCGAGTAAAAATCACCTGCGTGATTGATATATTTATTCGGTCTGCTGAAATAGTTTTTGTTTCTCTTTTCTTTTTTTTTTTTAATATTGTCACAAGCACGTGTTTCTCTTGAAATTCTGGGAACATGGAAATGTCCTCTAATGCTAATCTCTACTTTATTGTTCTCGTTATTTTTTTTTTCTTTTTCAATCTTGCATTTTTTTCCCACACAAAGATGGTCTCGCTGTAGCATTCAAGTCAACCTCGGCGTGGCTCTTAAAATATGAAAATGTATTCCAAGTCTATTCGCGCTCTTTTTGCCCCCCTCTCTCTCTGTCATATCTTTCCTCTCTGTTAGTAATCTTTCGCTTTTGCCATCACGTGGAAGAATTGTGGATTTGAAAGCTTATTTCTGACGTAACACCGTCACGGAGCGTGCATTTTCGTGGAGATATACCTCGACGCTTCGAAGAGACGATCAATAAAGACAGCTCCGGTAAAATTTATTCGCTATTGTTTCTCTATTTCAGCGCGTTTACGTCATCAAACGTTACCATTTCGCATCAATGTGTGTAATCTTTTGATAAATTTGCCATAATTGTAATTTAACAATCGTTTTAAATAATTTATATAAAAACATAACATAAAGCCATTTTTAGACAAAAAAAATTAATAATTTTCGTCACAAACATGTAGTCACTATTCTTTCTCTTTCTCTCTCTTTGCAAAAGAGAAAAAGTATATTTTTAGAAATTTCTTCATCATAGATAGTTCTATATGATTAGGTCAAGTTGAAGCAAGAACTTGACAGTCGACCAGTCACACTGATCGATTTCTACCTTCACTTCCGCTACCCGCTTTTCGCAGCGACATTTGCGCTCACGTTGAACTACTTCGCGTATCGCGCACCTCAAAACCAGACTTATTTCTTTTTACATTGCGCTTTTGCTCGCGCGCGTGAGGTTGCGTAAAAGCGGCGAAATGTCGTCCTTGGAATCTCGGCAACTTCTCTCCTGTATTAGAACATTTCGCAAGACTTTTCGCACAATTTCTAGTCTATATCGCGCCGTTTGAATCGCGTCGGCGGTATTCCTCGGATCGTAATCACAATTAACGATTCTCGCGTGTTCTTATCGGCAAATTGATCGGCGAGACGAAGGGATCGCGTGCGAATAAGCGTAAGTGCACGTGGGGATTTTTTTTTTTTTCGGAAAGAGACGTTACCGTAACAACGTCGACGTGACGTTGGGCAGAAAAAAAAACTTTTCGCGACGATAAATACACATGTGTGTCGACGCTACGTACCCTTTGTCGCGAGCCTGACATTGAGAGCCTTGACACGCCGCGCCTCTTCGTGAACGCTATTGACGTCGTATCGCGAGAGAGTCCTTCGTGCGCGCCCGTGAAATGGACTATCCTTATCGTCTCGTTGTTTGTGTTCGCTAGACAGATGTTTCCGGATCAACAATGTTTTTCTGTTTCTAAGATTTTTTGTTTGTTTGAATTCTTGCCTCGTCAAACATGTTGTATATTGATTTTGGAAACCAATAATCGTGCATGTCACTTAAAAGTTTATCCCAAACGAGAAGATAAACATATCTTATCGCGAGAGGAAAATTCCTCTCTCAAGTGTCGTGAGATTTTTATACGTGTTATACGTTTCCTCTCACAAAGACAGTTGCGTTATCGCGACTAGAACCGTAAATATATATTGCAAACGGATACGTCAGGTTTTATCATATGAATGATTTCCTCTCGACGGAGAAACCTCGTGTATGTATTGATAGTTTGTTTGAAGCTATTAAAAAAAATGTATGTTTTTAAAAGACTTAAAGTCAAACTCTTTCTCGGACAAATCGAGGAAAAGTTTCTTCTTCATAAAAAAGTGTTACACAACTCGCTTTGAGATGTTACGCGATACATTAATTTATACAAGATGAAAGATGTGTATAAATCATCACTGAATACGTATAATTTAATTGTACGTCCTCAAAGGCTATAACACAAACGATCACGCGCAATATGTCTCCCGTGTGTGCCGGTATTAGACGACATTATTCCATATTCGGAACCAAGAGGGAGTTTCAAAAAAGCGGAACCCTCCAATTTTGCTGTCGACAGTATACTATTACACAGACAGTATACTATTATATTTTGACGCGCCGATTACGAATATGATAACGAAAATTACCGACAAGATCATTTTCAAAGTCAAAACTCAAAAAAATAAAAAAATGATCACTTTTTTAAACATTATTTTGATAAATATTTATGTAACAAAAGATGTTTCAGATAAAAGTTGTAGCTCTTGAAAAAAACACATCATTTATGTTCTACGCATTTTTTGCACAGAACCACTAGTTTTCGAAAAACATGAGATAATAGGAAAGTTGAGATAATAGATGAGATAATAGGACACTCTCTCCCCTCGCATTAGCTTGATACATAAGTTTGAGTTAGGTTAGGTTAGGTTAGGTTCGCATTGTGACATTAATGACATTGTAATGACACAGAGTTAGGTTAAGTTAGATTTTTTCATAGAGAAGATGCAGGAAGAGGGCGCAGCCCTCCCTGCCTACACGCTTACAACATAAAGAACATAACAAAAGAAAAAGTCTTATTTTAACTTTTTTCGGAAAACAACGGTCTATTTATGAAATTTTCTTTTGTTAACAAGTTTTTAGTAAACGACAAGCGACGGCTTTTTTATTCTTACTCAGGAAAATGATCTTTATAATATATGTAAAAAATAAGTACGTTTCTGTGCAAAAAAGTCATCTGTGTGGTACGTTGGTACATGTACAGACGGCGTCATTAATTCGAAGAATAGGCGCGGGGATCGGAGGGCAAGCGGGGCGGTTGCTCGTAGCGCCAACGGGCGCCGTACTAACTAACTAGTAGCAATCCAGTTGTGGACACCCGATTTTGGGACTAATGGATATTTGGATCAACTAGACTTTTTATGTGATCCTCGCGCCTATTCTTCGAATTAATGACGCCGTCTGTACATACAATGTTCTCTGCAAATGATCACTATGGACAATCGGGATCTGTACAAAAATTTACCATACAAACGAGATTTGTACAAACAGGATCCGTGCAAGTCGATCTAATCAAAACAAATCTTGGTAATTGATGCCCTGCCGTTTTCATCTGTTTTTTTAGTGCAGGAGAGGGGGAAAGTCTTTCCTATTATCTCATTTTTTCGAAAAGTATTAGTTCTATCCAAAAAATGCGTAGAATATAAATAATGTATTCTTTCATGAGCTACAACTTTTATTGGACACATTTTTTGGTACATAAATATTTATCAAAATAATGTTTAAAAAATTTCAGTTTTTGAGTTTTGACTTTGAAAATGACTTTCGGTAATTTTATCATATTCGTAATTAGCAGCGCATCAAAATATAGTAATATACCAGTCAACAGAGCAAAATATCGAAGGGTTCTGCTTTTCGAAACTGTATCCTGAAACCGAAATAATTTGTTTCTCGCCGAGATGGTTTTTTGACCAGGTTGGAAAACCGGGTTGATTTTCCAAGATGGAAGTTCGCGGGCCTAGCTTATCCGCTCCAACAAACCCGCCTGCTGGCTGCCCGTCTGAGAGACGCTTACGGAGAATGCAAAGTAATACGTGTCAAGTCTAACGAGGCGCGTCGCGGAATGCAGGCAGGAGGCGATGAAAACGCGCGCCCGCGTGCTGCTGCTCGCGCTGCAACGCGAGAAAAATTAAGGCCAAGTCAAAAATATATAATATAAAAAATATATATATGTGTTTTATATATTTTATATATATTATATATATATAATAATTAATATATATATATATTATTATATATATAAATTATATATATATATATATATATATAATAAAAAACTTTTTTTATTATCTCGACGGAACTCGACTAAAATAAAGTATCTCGCATGGAAAATAATAAAAATTATTTTCATTTACTATTGGGCTCGCCTACATTCACGTTAGATTCTGACAAGTTCATTTACTTTTTTGCAAAAAAGAAAAGTACTTTGTAAGATACATAATTGTAGATCGAAAGACATAATATATTATATGTATATACAATATATATAATAAAGAAAAGTACTTTGTAAGATACATAATTATAGGTCGAAAGACATAATATATTATGTCTTTCGATCTATAATTATGTATCTTACAAAGTACTTTTCTTTTTTGCAAAAAAGTAAATAGATTTGTCAGAATCTAACGTGAATGCAGGCGAGCCCAATAGTAAATGGAAATAATTTTTATTATTTTCCACGCAAAATACTTTATTTTAGTTGAGTTCCGTCGAGAAAATAAAAAAATTTTTTCAAATTGAACTAATCCATATAAAAATCTATAGCATCGAGCAACTAGGAGACGCAATTAAAACGTATATCTCGTGTTGCACTATCGAGAAGAGAAACCGCGATTGGCGTTACTTTCGCGATTTCGACGTGCGAAAATTGCACTAGATAGAACAAGTTGCAGAAAGGAAAAGAGATTCTTCTCGTTCCGTATCGCGAATTCAGAATGGACATCCGCCTTTCTCACGGCGCGAGACGTGAGAAGATCGATCCGAGCTCGGGACGTATATAACTGGAACGTGCGTAGTTCCTGCATATGTGCCTCATACTCTATCTCGTCTCTTCAATTGGAACGATCGTGTTATATCGCACACACACAGAGATACACACATCTCGGTATCCCGCAATATCTTGTAAATCACATCGCACTGATTGCGAGATTAGCAATAACGAGATCGATCGAGCGGAACGTCGGAGGAATGGCCTTTACGAGCGCCGTGATAGAAAATTTAGCCTCGATCCGGGTATTAGATCTACTTAAAAGCAATTAGCACATTTTTCACGCCCGAGGAAGACCGAGAAGCCAGAACATCCTCGACGCGATCGTCATGACAAT